CAAAGAGCCGATGGGCCGTTTCAACTATAAAGATCTTGGGGTTTATATGTAACTCGAGGGGACGCCGAGCAGACCCGGCAAAGCTAGACAAACTTCTGAACTGGCCGTCGCCGCTACATAGTCCAACAGAGGTCCGACAGTTTCTAGGATTAGTCGGGTACTGGCGAATATTCATACGDGGATATGCGGAGAAGGCTGAGCCCTTGAGGTTACTCCTTCGAAAGACTGAAAAATTTTACTGGGATGCTTCGCAGGAACTCGCAATGCAAGAACTTTAAAATGAATTTAAGGAAGGAGGGCGCGTGTTGGGTGTGCCATTCTATGACGACGAAACTGAGAGACCCTTCATAGTATCCACGGATGCTGAGCGTAACTACAGTCAGTTCAAGAAAGAGGTGTTAGCTGTTTTACGGTGTCTAGATACGTTCAGACACTATATCTATGGGCGACGATTTATCTTGAGAGTAGACCCTACCGCAGTTGCCTCGGTCCTCCAGAAGGACTTCAGTCTGACAGACCCGACTATCGCCCGATGGTTGATACGGATACGTCTATACGATTACACAGTGGAAAGGATATCTGACTCTAAAAATGCAGTGGCAGATGGACTTTCGCGGATTCCTCTTGAGGCTGAGCGGCCGATAGTAGCGGGGGCTCTGACGCTGGCGGAGCCAAGASGAGCTGAGAGATTTCTGGTTAACCTATACGAGGGCAAGTACCGAGCGATCGGGCTACACCTGACAGGAGAGGAGAGTCTAGATTCAGATATTCGGAAGCAAGCCGCCATGGACTACGTAACAGAACGATTCAGGGGAAGCTACGCAAAAACTTCTCTCCCATTAACCACACGCTGCAACAAATTATGGACGCTGCCGAAGAAATGGAGTGGAAGTTCGCAACTAGCTTCTTAGAAAATAAGGATTATGGTAGAGAAGGAGACTCGTCCGAACTTGTGAAAGCAAGGGCGGAACTGGCCGCCCTGCAAAACAAATTCGAAAACATGGGATTCGTAGCCGGACYCGTCACGTATGTAGAACAGGTGACATCGAGGACCGCACCATGTGGAGCGACTGTAAACAGGCAGATCCCGGTAATGGCGTCCCCAACCGTAACTCATCCACCTCCACCGCCACCCACCATAGAGTCACCCGCAAGAACGAATGAGTCTACTGCTATCTTGGAGCTAACTAAAACATTGGTTAGTCTAATCCAAGAAAGGAAGAAGGAACAGCGAGAGCACAACGCCCGATTAGAAGCTATGATGCAGAATATGCGACCCATTGCGGTGCGAGCACCAATGCAGGGAGGCATGGCTGCTGCACAAGTTGCAGCGGGGCCAGCCGGGACAGCGGCAAATGCCTGTTTTACATGTCATCAACCGGGACACTTGGCCCGAGATTGCCCCCATCGTGCCATGCAGCCTCGAACCGGGGTCGCGCCTGCAGCTGCAACTCCCATAGCTAACGGCCCAGGACGTGTAGGAGCCGTGATGGATGATCAGGGGGAAAGTAATGGAATGATGATTTCCAGTGAGGAAGCAACCGAGCTTATCCCGCTGGAGCAGTATGTATCACTAGGATACCCGGGGCTGGGAATGATTGGGATGATTCGACCGGAACTCGAGTCCAGAGATGTCGCCGAATGGAGGCCTTCGTCGAGCGAAATGGAGACGGGAGGCCCTACCTTTGTTACCGGGGAAATCGATGTACTCGAGGTTACCCGAGCACTGGATCATCGAATCCCTCTCCCAATCGGCCACTTACTCTCCATTTCGGAACAGGCGAACGAATGTATGATGCAGCATTGCAAAGCGAACCGGAAGCGATTCGCCCTTGCACGCGCAAAAGATCAGAAGGCGAAGGCGCCGACTTCGAAGGAAAAGGCGGACGTCGCCCCTGACCCCATCCGAGTCGGATTGATACAGAAAGATGACCACTTTTTTCGGATCAAGCCGATTCCGTGAAAGTCAGCCGAATGTGATATTGAAGTCTAGGGAGTGCCGTATAGTGCGATCATAGATTCGAGAGCGGTTGTCCTAGCGATATCACTCCGAGTAGTCGAGAGAGCGGGTAGGAAGAATGATTTGATTATGCTAACCGAGAAGGACCAGCTCGTATCGGTTGACGAGGAGAAGATCAAGACAGTAGGGCGAATTATGAATGTCGCGTTCCGATTGGGAAAGGTGCATGCTTTAGGAGATGCTGTGGTGCTGGATGTGAATACGTATGACGTTCTTTTCGGTTTTCCTGCATTGGTGGCGCTGCGTGCTAATTTAGACTTTGAACGCCGATCCGTCATTCTCTGGAATACCGGGGGAAAGCCGTATGTAATACCCATGAGACTAACTCTTCGAACGTCGGTTAAGGTAGTACCCCGAATTTCTCCGGAAACAAGGGGAGCGCTCCGCATGGTCTCCTGGAGTGCATCTGTGGACGGAGGCCAATCATCGAACGACGCGGGTAGCGACGACGATGACGATCCAGTCGTTACACGGTTAGTACGACAACGGATTCACTACCCGCCGCCTCGCACTATTGTGCGTACCATGCATCTAACCGCACGGAATGCTCATATGATGATCATGGGAGAACCCCTCGTACATATTTCGAGGCTGGTTGATTCCTTGGAACCCCCTTGGACCCTGTACGAAGGCGTATCTCCCCTCCTCCTTCGGTATAATGACAAACGTTCCTTTTGTGATCTCACTGGCTTACCTCGATCCCTGCTTCAACCCGCAAAAGAGGTTCAGTTGTTGCGTTTGGGAGCCGAAGCAGGTTCTTTGGAACCCCCTCAGCGCATCGAGGCAAGATCCGAGGAACTCGGGATTAAAATCTCGCCCAAAAGCGTGCCGTGGCAAGACATCTGAGACGGGATAACCCCCGAAGAAGCACAGATGGTGGCCATTGTGTTTTCTTGGAGATCGGATCACTCTTTTATATCCACACCGCCTGACACTACTCGGCGTATACACACGAAGCACGTTAACGTTCGGATTTTGGTTCAAATGTATGAATTGCATGTGCCCCAGTATGGACCTGATGAGATCCATCGGCTGATCGCTGATATTTTAATAGAATATCAAGGGGGGATTAGCGTGTCCGATGCCGATATTGGGTTATCTGTGGTCGTTCAGCATGAGATTCAGACCGGGAATCATTCCCCGATCCACTGCAAGCCGTACCGATACTCGTTGACAGAGCGCAAGACGGCCTTGCAGCGAATCAGGGAATTTGAGGCAAACGGATGGATTGAGCCTGCCACCGGYCCCTGRTCGTTCCCAGTTGTATTGGTTCCTAAAAAGAAYKGGTCAGTCCGCATATGCATYGATTATCGAAAGCTAAATGATATCACAATTAAAGATGTGTATCCCCTTCCCCGGATTGATGATCTGCTTGATGCGATCGGGTGTGCTAACTACTTCAACAAGTTCGACATTCGGCATGGGTTTCATCATATCTTGGTGAAGGAAGAAGATCGGCCCAAGACCGCCTTCGTTTTGTTTGAAGCCACGTGGCAGTGGGTTCGGTGCCCGATGGGAATCTGCAATGCGCCTGCCACGTTTCAGAGGGCGATGAATGTGACTTTTCATAATTTCGTCAATAAGACACGGCCAACTCAGGGGATGATTAACTTCTGCGTCATTGTGTACATGGATGACATTCGAGTGTACTCGGACACGTTTCACGGACACGCGCAGCACATCGAATGGACGTTGGGTGCGTTGAGAGACGCAGGTTTCAAGATTGCGCTGGAAAAGAACGAGTTTTTCCTCCCGGAAATCTCGTTCTTGGGGTATGTGGTGACACGAGGAGGCCTGCGGCCGGACTCTTGAAAAGTCGCGGCGGTCAAAGAGGCCCCGGTTCCGACCTCACTGGCGCAGGTTCGAGCCTTCTTGGGCCTGGCCTCGTATTACCGGCGGTTCATCAAGGGGTTCGCGGCTATAGCAAGGCCTCTGACAAACCTGCTGTGAAAAGAACAGCCCCTTCATTGGGATGACGAGTGCGACCAGGCATTCGGGGCCCTGAAGGATGTTCTCGTCACGGCCCTGATTCTGATTCGACCGGACCCCTCTCAACAGTTTATTCTCATCACCGACTGGCAGCCGGAGGCTATCTCGGCCATTCTGGCACAAAAGGGAAACGATGGGAAGGAGCATGTCATTGAGTACGCTTCCCGGACGGTGCCAGATGAGCGACGAAACGATTCCGCGCCACAAGGAGAATGCTATGCGGTAGTGTGGGGTATCCAGCACTTCCATCCGTATTTGTACGGTCAAAAGTTTCTGCTCGTCGCCGACCATGAACCTCTGTTGGCTCTGAAAAAGCTAACCAACTACATGGGCATGATCGGACGATGGACAATGCGGTTGCAAGAGTATGAATTTGACATTGTTCATCGAAAAACGGAGAGACGGCAACACCGACGGACTGACACGTTTGCACCGACCCGGTAAAGTACCAAAGGCGGAAGAAATCACACCGTGGAAGGACCCGAACATCAATAACGGTCCAAAGTACGGAGAAGTTGTGGTTATTCCACGTGGCAAGAAACCGGTGAAGGGCAATGGGTGACGGAGGTAATGTCCAGATTCCCTCTCTTTCTTCCCCATCCTCGTCTTTGCCTCCCTTCCTGACAAATTTTGTTATTTCTGCGAGGCAATCTCTCGAGTCTATTCCGTCCACATGTGTCCTAAAGGGAGGGGATATGTTGAATGGGTAGACTGTCGGAAATGTGTCGCACGTGCTCATGGTGCGTGCATACAGTATCGGAGTAGTGATAGACCCTGGTTCTGTCCCTTATGTCGCACTGACAAGATTCCGACGGAAGCCCGATTCCTCGATGCCACGTCGGAAGGCCCCGACAAAATTCAGAAATTCAGAAGAGCGGAAGTCTGGACAGATGTCGCCTTGATAGCCACTGTGGTAGGGAACTCCCTCGAAACCTTCTCCAAGGAGGATTGGAGGAGGGCCAATGAAAGAGCACGGGATTACCGATGGGTGGACGGACGGTTAGAAAAGCGTAAAACTGACGGCAATGGGGCATGGTTAGTAGTTCCGCACCCGTTTATGCGGTACGACTGGGTACGAACAGCCCACGAGGAGACGGCGGCACATTTTGCCGTGCGTATTACCGAAGCTGCGATTGAGAGAAATCAATGGTACTGGTCCAATATCCGGGACGATGTTAAATTCATCGTCCAACACTGCCAGGTCTGCGCTGCTGACAAGGCCCCAACCCAACCGCCTAGGTCGATAGTCCCAACTGTGGTTGAACGGCTGTTTCAGAGGGTTAGTATGGATACTACTGATATAGTGGTGCCCCCCGGACCGAATAGTTGCGACTGTTCAATTCTGCTGGTTTTCGTCGACCACTTTTCTAAGTGGATCGAGGCCTACCCCTGCAAGACACGACAAGCCGCGGAAATCGCGCGGTACGTCAACCGTTTTCTAGGCATGCACCAGGACACCGAAGAGATCCTGACCGACAATGGGGTCGAATTTAGAGGAGAAGTCGAGAGGAACCTGGTCATACACGACATCTCCATATGATACATGGCCCCGCACATGTCCCAGTCTAACGGATTAGTGGAAAACGCGAATAGGGTGATAAAGACGGCCTTGCGGCGGAATATTGCGGCATGTGAGCCCCGACCCTGGCCTGATATTGTTGACCACATCTTGGCGGTCCATCGCGGAACGCCCCACGAATCGACGGGCCTAAGCCCCTTCCAGTTACGGACCAATAGTGTCTCGTGTGTGTCGATACCGAGCCTCCCAGACGAATTGGGACTCAACCGACGCCCCACAAGGGCCACCGCTCGGGATAAAGCCAAAAGATACCTGGAACTTATGGAGCGGTCCTTACCTAGACTGGCCCGGAAGCGACAATGGTCCACCGAATTGGCCCATGGCCGACAGGTCCGGAGTTACGAGGCCCGGGACGAGAATGTGGGTCCCAGGACCCAGTATAAGTTAGGGGACATCGTGCAAGTAAGGAAATGTGCGCGCCAGGGTAAACTAGCGCCACGATTCTTCGGACAGTATTGAGTGATTGAACTCGGACCCAACGGCGTGGACACCGTGCGCCTCGCTCCCGAGGTTTCTGACAGTCGATCGGCTCGCCTGATCACACGCCACGTGTCCTATCTCCGTCTTCTTCCCTCTGTTCCGTCTCCTTCTCCATCAACCTCTCCCGACGACGACTCTATCTTCTCTGCATCTCCTTCTCCTTCTCAATCTCTATCTGATACGCCGTCACCCTCGCCGTCGCCATGAGCTTTATGGAGGAGAGAGCTCTAAGTGAAGAAGCGCTGGTAGCACGTGGGAATTTGACACTGCGGCAGGTGCATCATCCTCGTCTTAGTCCGGACCTTCAACAGCTTGCGCAATTCTTCTGCTCGAAGGGCGTCTACGCGGCAGCAGAGATCCACGTCGACGGGAGGGCTGACGCGATCATATTGGCCGAAGTTGTCGGGTTGCGACAGCGAGCATCTGCGGGCGTCAGCCGGATAACGGTGGTGGTTAATTTCAGTGGAGATCTCACGGCGATCCCCCCCTGCCGACACACGAGAATCAAGGCGGCATTGCTTCTGTGGGTGCACAATCTTCAGAACGAGTGGACCCAACTCCTGGCGTACGAAGGGGACGTGATCACACAAATCCGAGCGATCGAATACAACGGCCTTCGGCTGGATCGGCGTGACCCGCCGACGCAATTACCCCCTCTCATCCCCTTCCATCCCCGATGAGCTCCTTCCCGATCTCTACTTTCGAGCTTCCTTCTTCCTTCCCCACCTTTTCGCAGTCCGATCTTCATCCCCGCCTTTCCTTCTGCATAAATCCTTTGGTTGTTCCCCTCCTCGATCCCTCTCAGTGGGACGCGTGGCGCAGAGACTTTATCGAACTCTCACTGTGTTTGGCGGAAGTACGGGTGTAGTGGACGAGGGACGAGAGAAATTATCCGCGGTCTGAGCGATTGGAGCTCCTTTTGATTCAGGCGTGGCGGACGGAAGTAGAGGGGGACCTTCTCGGTTTTCTATTCGGGGCAGTGCGTCCAGGCTGTCGGAGGCTTCTCACCCAGGAGCTTACGGTCCCAATTGCGCAGCTGGCCGACGATCTTGACGTCAGCATTGTCTCCCAGGCCGACCCGCGCTTGGTGCCCCACGTCACCTCGCGCACGCTGTCGCCGTATCTTCAGTGGTCAACTTGCATGGAGGGCTTCCCATGGAGAATTCCGCCTTCACGGCTGGATTATTTGGATCCGCGCGACATCGTGGATCCCGCTTTCTACAGACCGTCGTACGAGGACGAATTGGAGGAGATAATCCGCGAGGAGCTCGCGGAAGAAAGTTCGGAGGAAGAGGAGGAGAATCTGAACGAAGACGAAGGGGAGCCGGCACAACAGCAGAAGGAGACAAAGAAGAGCTCCTGCAAACGGAGAGCGAGGAGGAAGCAGAAGAAGAAGACAACGAGCAAGGGAGCGGTGATGACAATGACGAGGAGCACACCGACGAGGATCCCCAACTAGAAATTGCGCCAGCAACGATGCAACGCTCGACTCGGAGCCACCTCAGCCAGACGACGGCCATGTGGCCCAGATAGCTGGGCCGTCCGCTCGCCGGCCTCCTTCCCCATCGTGACGCCGACGACGAAGCAGCTCCCCCTCCGCCTCCCTCTCCCTCACGGCCCGTCCCGCACTTCGAGCACGCCGAGATGAGGCCGATCGGTCTTCGTCCTCGGGCTCTCTCTCTCCGCCCCCATGACTTCCTCACCCTACGCCAGCTCACCCGCCCCGCCGTCTTCCCCCACAATCCCTTCCCCCGCGACACTTTCCGTCATTACTTCTCCATCCGTCTCTCTGTCACAGTCCATCCCCACTCATCCTACCGACGTGCTTCCCCTGAGTTCCCTCTCCATATACTTCTTTTCAGCGTTGGATGGCATCGTATCAACGCCGTAGAGGTTTATTGCCTCATCACGGGGTTAATCCCCGCATGCGCCGACCGCGATCGCTTTCGCGCGGCGCTTCTTAGAACCTTCACCACTCTCTATCCCGACTACCTCGCTTCTCTCCCCACTACTAGCCGCCGATATCCCCCCTTTCATAGAATCGTCCATCATCGGAGCCTTCCGGAAAKGGACGATGAGCTGGAACGCTTCTTCCCGCCTATCCCGACTCATCCTCCATCAACACCTCCGCCTGCCTATCGTCTTCCTTTTCCTCTTCCCCACGAGTGACGACAACCAGGATATGACTGCCGCACAGCATGACTTCCACACTCGTTCGCACGGTATGCGGCAAAAAAAAAAGATCAACCATCCACGACCAATCAATCAGAGATGAGCGACACGTCAGAAAGCAAGCAGGAACTTGCTTATCTTTGGAACCACCTGGGCGTCACATATGTGACGAACTAGCTTCTATAATGCGCGACTTTCAGCGCAAAGTGCTAAGCGGGGTCCCACGTCGACTGGACGGGTTCATGGAAAAATTGCATGTGTGTCCTTGCTTTCTTCGTTGTTTCTTCGTTCTCGCACGAGCCCCTGATGACAGTTGGGGACAATTCGGGAATGCACGGGGAAAAGGGGGTGAAACTTGGTTGGATGGATGCGGAGTGCGCGCCGAGTGTGCGATTAATAAACGTTGACGTTGCTTCTTTTCTTTCGTTTCCCCTCTTTTAATTCTGTTTTGTCGGACTTTTGGGAGCGTAGACATCACGCGGGAATTTCAGTGTCTCTTTTTGAATTTCCTTTTTGAATTTTCTTTTCGAATCTTGGTCGGAGCCATACGGCCCTCGAAATTCTGATTTTCTTTTCGGACCTTTTCATAATATCGGCAGGCTAGCTAAGAATTTAGGAATTTTGGAATTTCTGTTTTTCTGGGACTCTGTTTTGCGTGTTCGCGCGCTCTTTCTTGCTGCTGCGCCAGGATCTTGATTGATTGGCGCCTTAATCCTTTTGCAACCGTAATTTTGGGCGCACACTTTTGTAACTGTATCTTTCTGTTTCTTGCTCCTTATTCCTCCCACCTCGTTTCTTCCTCTCTCCCCTCCCTATCTGGGTAGCCGCGTTTGCATGTTCGGATCGATGCGTGGAGTTGGGTACGTCCCCCACGCCGAGGCCCGACCATGCAAACGTAAGCACTTCCTTTCCCCCATCTATCTACGTCCTTGTAATTCCATGTTCTTCGCGCATGCATGCGCGCTATAAATTTCGGCTGCGCGATTAACTTGCTCTCTTAACAGTTGCTGGAAGCTCGGGGTTGCGCGATCGAAAGGGTCGGCACACGAGCAAAGTAAGAGGTGAGTGAAGTGGGAGTCGCGCGACCCGACGAGCTGGTGATGAATGCGCGGGGTTGACGCGGGCCACGATGGACTGTGGGCGAGGAGCGAACCTGACGGGCGCAGGAGGACCAAGCGAGGTGACGGCTTCGTGTGTTGATGCGCGACGACGGACTGTCGGCATCAGAGAGGGAGAGAGAGAGAGGAGAGAGAGTTGAGGTTGAGGATGGACATGGATTCGTGCTTTTCTTTTTGTTCCTCTTTTTATATGTGTATATAAATTTTGGTGTCGATTACAGGCAATTCGCCCTTGTCTTTGCGGCCATATACTGGTCCTGTTGTTCGATTTGGTTCTTCATCGATGTTTTCTCCTTTTTCTTTCCTTCTCCGGAATCCTCTTTTGCAAATGATGTATGGATGGTTCGCGCACCCTCGCCTTTCGTTTTTGATTGTTTCCTGCGAACCCTCGTACATGATGAATGAAAATGGGGATTGCATGTTGGCGTGATCAATAGAGTGTGTTGGCTTGTTGTACCTTACGGGGAGTCTGGAGCGCACCATCCGATGTACCATATGGGCATATGCAAGTGCGATCCGGACGGAGCGCGGCTTACATGTGTCCATACCACTCGGACTCGCCAATCGTGTCTTGGCTAACGCGCGTAGCCAGCCCCTCGCTGAAGTAGGAGTCAATGTCAATCGGGATCGGGTTACCCATCACGAGTAAGTGCGACTTGTTCGCATCTCTCTTACGCACTTACGAGCAGTGATCTCCCCGATTAACTTATCCCCCAAGGCGTGAGTGATGAAAGAATGATTAGCTCGCGGAGTTCCGACGTATCTTGGAATTCCGAGGATTTCGAGTCGTATTTCGGGTACCGGGAAATCTGGAAAGAAGAGCAACTCCGATTACGGGGAAGTTTGAGGAACCCGGTATTCCCCTGCCTCACAGAAAACCATAAATTCTGCGCTAGGGAATTCCATCTCGCCGTACGAAGCGACCCGTGGGGACCCGACTACCCAAACACGTACAACACGCAGTATTTCATAACCCCCGGCTTCGTCCTTATCGCCACTAATTTCCCACCATACCACCTCCTCCTCCCCTATCATCAGCTTACAGTAGTACCGTGGAATTCCATAGCACCTTATTGGCCCTCCACCCTGTGCAGAAGCTGCAGGCGGCGTGCCCATACCCGAACCCCCGAAGCCTCGGCACCWAGGCATAGTTCCCACCAACCCAYGCCACGTGGCRGGCCCCGAAGGCGTGGSCTCCAAGGACCGCCTCGACAGGCTCCCCAGAACTGGCGATCGCGYCAGGATAGGACGGCCCCGCACAACCAGCGTGCAAACCCGCGCCCGTAAATTTTCCCATTGCTCTATTGCATCTATGCCCCTGAACCTTGCCACTGGAGATCTCAGTTCCGACCTGGGACTCCACCCCCACTTTCCAAAAATCCTTGGCACACCCCTTTTCGCACTTCCAGGCCCACATCCCACTCCGATTAGGAAGGCGAGCCGGGCGTGAGGTTATGGGCGTCACACTCTGTCCACTGCCTTCTTCTTCCAGCGACGAGCCGACCTCCTCCACCACATAGTTCGCCAGATGAAGAACARCAGCGAGAGATGAGTTCACAGGGTTTCCCAACGAGCAGCAGCCTACATCAGTCTTCTTTATCTTGCGACGAGCCAACCTCCTCCACCACATAGTTTGCGAGATGAAGCAAAAACARCCTACACAGAAATCATCAGAAATCCCTCCCACTTTCCCGCAACCCCCTACTCTTCATCGTCTTCCAACGAGCCGACCTCCTCCACCACATAGCTCGAAAGATATGAACAGTAGACGAACAACCTAACCCAGTCCCATAGTAGTTGAGAGTAGACTTCTASTATTCGTCTTCCTTCGACGAGCCGACTTCCTCCACCACATAATTCGAAGAAGAGGAATARAAGTAATCCACTCACAAAAGGTAGTAATAGGTAGTAACAAAAACTGAACACTATAAAGGCATATTTCCGAGAGAGGGCAACAAAACTAAAACCAAGGTGGATTGACACTTCAACTATCCTAACCTCGAACCGGCATCGACCTCCCTCCTAAATATCAAGACTCTTCAAGGCCTCCCACCCCCATCTGCTAGGTGACGAGGTAGCACGACCTACCTCAGAAAACTCCCATCTGTTAGGTTACAGGGTGGAAYGACCCACCTCGGCTCCGACCCGCATCGTCTTGATACCAGCCCCAAACAGCCACAGAACCACCTTCCCCCTTAGRCAGTTCCTTGGACCTCTAACCAGGCCTCTAGAACCCTCGTCACGCTCGAGTTATAGGGCARCATGACCTAACCCGCAGCTACGACCAACATCGTTCCAACTCGGCCGTCCGAAAACAAAGGAGTGGAAGGCAGATAGCACAACATCAACTGAATAGCCAAGCATCACCTCAACCCGGATTTCAGGTTTGATGGCACTAAACTCTCCCAAAACTTAGTAGACAAGGATATAGCCTAGATTAGGATGTCACTCAAAACATTAAGTGGACAAGGACTTACAACACGAGGTTGGGTTCACCAACCACCTTGTACAAATTTACGGGAGTTTTTGGAAGTAAATTTAGCCAATTTTGGAGACCCTTATAGGGGCTCACAGAACCTAGGAATTTGAGGTATAGAAATTAAGAAGTTGGTCAACAATGATAGCACTGAAAGGGATCTGGATTTTAGAAGAATCAATCATGGAACTTATATTGGTAARAAAWTCAGAATTGGAATCYATCAGAAACAAGTCTGATTTACGKCTTCAACTTTGCAATTATATTGGACTCTTAGAATAAGAATTGACAATTGTATTAGACTCTTGGAATTAAGAAGAATCGCRCAGATAAACTTCGTATTTGACTAATCAGACAAGAACATCATTTAGCAGATATAACCAGCAGAAATGGGATTTAACGGATGAAAATCCAAATGTGAAAATCAGAATTAAGGACCAGACTCAAATCAGATTGTTAGTCAAAAWTTGAAAAAGCCTACATGCTAGAGCAAAAACCTATCAGACAAAATCTACTCAGCCAGAACAATCATCTTAGAAGACAAAAACATAGCGGGAAAAAAAGTACCCCACGTCCCAACACTTCGTAAACCACCCCTCCCCCCTCCAAATCGGCYTTACGAGAAAAAACTGGCCACCTTGTAGTCGACACTCACTCGACCGTCCTCAAAGACCAATCGACGAAGATAAGCGGATCGTGGCAAAACCACGTTGCGAACCCAAACCGCCGAACCTGCCAGCCGCC